CAAATAATAGTAAGAATCAGCGTTGCCTCAGCCCATAACTAGTCTCAGTGAGGATATAGGAACACGTTTAGGAGTCGGTTACGATAGTTTACATGAGAAGGATAAGTTTTCATATACCTTCATTTTTGCGTGTTCATTCAGTGAGGATATATGAATGTTTTAGGAGTATGGTTTACATGAGAATGATTAGTTCATATTGCGTGTTCATTCAGTGGTGATTATGTAAAGCAGTTTCTTGCAAGCGCTGTCTTGGATGTCAACTTTGGCTCGAAGTCGTAACTGTTTCCTACTCATCTTGGTGGTCAAGTAATGTTTAAGCCTTGCCTCCCTCCAAAAAGGCCTTTTAATTTGAAAAATGCAATAATCCACACTTCATATAATTCATCTGTCACGTAAGTATGAACTTTAAACCTCGAAGCTATAAACGAATAGTCCAACCACGGATGTTGAGTGAAAAGTACACTCCCACGGATAGTAAGTCAACACTCATCTATGATATATCTCGATTACCTCACACTCACACGTTCCGTTGCTTCAGCTCGAAACATAGTTACAGCAGACGTTCACAGACAGTAACATTCACAGAAGACTATCAACTCAGCCACCAAGGAAGCATATAACGTCCATTTCCAACTCTATTTCGTATTGGAGAACAGGGAAAAAGGCGGTTTCAGAAGGTGTGATTCCTGCTCTGACCAATATGATCAAATCAAGAAACAATAAGAATCTGATGTTATCTGTCTTGACAATGTTGTCCTTTCAGAACGGGGTTCTTGAAGAAATGGATGATATAAGGTCTATCGATGATGTGTTCGATATCTTGAGGAATCCAAGTTTCTCAAGGACTTGCGAGGTCGCTCTAGCGATGTTCACTCACGTGTGCTGCTTGAAAAGCACGGGTGGGAGAAAGAGGGTGATAGAACCACCAAAATAAGGTCTTGTTGATACATAAAAAAAAAATAGTTGTTTTTGATACATTATACTGTATAATTTATACATAATATACTGATCCAAAATTTGATTTCTGAATAGAATGATAGAAAGGTTGCCAAAAAAAAAAAAAGAATTGAATGATAGAAAGACAAGTTGTATAGGTTCTCTAAGAATGAAAGAAGTGCCTAAAGAGGTGGTGGAATGTTGGCGAATACAGTGGATTGTATGCCCAACGAATTATTAATTTGACGATTAGCAAACTTTACCTAAGAAAAATTTATCTCTAGTAGCACCAAAACAATATTTTATCCAAAAACGAGTACAAAATAATTATTTTTTTTCTCAAAATTGCTTTTACTGAAATATTTAAAAGGAAATTTATATAATAATTTCATTTAGAATGTTCTTATTAGATTTTAGAGTTCAGTATAAAAGTTATTTCGTCAATATAAAAGTTACTTAAATAAAAAAAATATCAATTAACAAAAAATAAAACCTTGCTCAGTATAGAATTTTGGTAACATAGATTTCTCATGGTCTTTACTACCATAGCTATTTCGTCTTCTTGACACAAAACTGTTGGAAATGGTTTTTTGAAGACCCGAAATTTTGTCTGTAATTCAAGAGTTTCAAAAATAACAAAAAAAAATATTGTATATATGATAAGAAACCTAAAATTACTATAGCAAAGAACAAACCAGACAACCATTAAATCACAATAAACTTTAATGTAAATATTAAAGTTAGAGTAATTTTGTTTTATCTTTTTATATATGAGAAACAAACTAATAAAATTTGTTGAACTTTTGGAACATTTTATTAATGATGATAATATTGTGTAACTACTTAATATAATATATTTTAAACACAGTAATTAACATGCAAAAATCCACATTTTTAAAAATAATAATGAAATCGAGTTAATCCACACAAACTTGGATACAAAAACAGAAAAAATGGACTTAATCAGAGGAAGAATAAGAGATTACCAAAAAGGTTTTTTCTTACTGCCACATTGGTCAATATATAGTTTACTTTCTGTGAAACTAAACCTATTAAATAATTCTTGCAAACACAATTTTAAATTTCTAAACATCGTTTAGATCTTTCTAATGAATCAAACTTCTATTCATGACTACAAAGAATCATACCTATATTAAGAAAAGAAAGCTCACAATTTTTTTTTTAAAGAATGGCATCAATATAACTTTTCTATTTATAGTAATCTGAAAAGGTACATTGATAGATTATCAAGAGGTGTGTTTTGTTTTAAAATGAATATTTTCAAGAGTTACAAGGAAAAAAATGATTAACTAAATACATTTTCAGACTAATACATAATAAACCAGAACAATAAAAAGAAAATAGAAAAATGCTTGAAAGGTTGAATATTTTTTAAAAATGAAATATATTACTTTAAAAGTTGCATCTTTTTATAAATAAATTTGTGTCTTTTCATAAAAAAATATCTATGACCATTGGATTAATTTGTTTTTCCTATTAAAATATGCTGATGTTTTAGGAGGTTTGCTAAAAAAACCAATAGTTGAAAGGTTATCTTTTCATAATAACTGAAATAAATTGTTGAAAATTTGTATCTTTTCTTAAAAAGCTGAAATATATTAGGTTGAAATTTCCATCTTTTCATTGCAAAAACAATTGTGACTTTTCATAAAAAAATAAAGTACTATTTGAGAAGTTGCATCTTTTCATTAAAATAACATTTGGTGTTCGAGAAAAAATAGTTTAAAAGTATTTAAAATAGTTTAAAAGTATTAAAATTTATTAGGACCCTTAGATGGAAAAAATAACAATGATTGAAAGGTTGTATTTTTTCAAAAAAATAACTGAAATATATTAGTTTAAAAGTTGCGTCTTTTTATTATAAATAGAATGGTGTCTTTTCATTAAAAATTATCTATTATTTTAAAGTTGCATCTTTTCATTATAAATAAAATTGTGTCTTTTCATAAAAATTTATCTAGGACCATTGGATAAATTTTTTTTCTACTAAATATGATGATGTTTTAGAAGGTTTGCTAAACAAAACAATAGTTGAAATGTTGTATATTTTCATAATAACTGATTATACTAGCTTGAAATTTCCATCTTTTCATTACAAAAACAATTGTGTCTTTTCATAAAACAATTAACTATTATTTGAGAAGCTTCATCTTTTCAATTACAAAGACATTTGGTGTTCCAGAAAAATAGTTATTAAGTATTTAAAATAGATTGCATAAATAATTTATTAGGACCATTAGATGGAAAACAAAACAATGCTTGAAATGTTGTATCTTTTCATAATAACTGAAATATGTTAGTTTAAAAGTTGCATATTTTTATTATAAATAACTACAATGATACATTTTCATAAAACTTATCTATTATTTTAAAAATAGTATTTTTATTATGAAAAATGGGTGTTTCAAAAAATATTTAAAAAATATTTAAAAGAGATTATAAGACTTGTGTCTTCTCATAATAAAAATTGTTGAAAGGTTGTATCTTTAAACTTATGAAAAGGGTATGACAAATATGATTGTAGCTATTAAAAGAAAATATATGTCTCTTCAATGAAAAGTTGCCAATTATTTGATGACATCATCTAGGCCTGGGCAAAATTAACCGGAACCGAAAAAACGAACCGTACGGAACCAAAATTATCTGATCCGAAACCGGACTAGAAAACACAATAACCCGAACGGTTCCTATTTACAAATATTACGGGTAGCCGTACCGAACCGGAACCGAATTGATAACCGAATGGGTACTTTTGGATACCCGAAATATAATACATAGCTGAAAATATTATTTATATTTAGATGTTAACTAACTAAATTATTTGAATTATGTTATAAATCCAAAAATATTTAGTTACATTTGAAATAAATACTAAAATATTCACATTTCTTAGTTATAATTTTAAAATTAAACAATATTTATAAACTTTAATGTTTTTAAAAAAAAAAAATTAAGTGTTTCAAGTACTTTTTGGGTAATTTGGATACTTTTTATTTGGGTAATTCGGGTAGATTAGTTATTCTGTCTACTTTTGGGTAGATTGAGTACAAAAGTAACCAGAACCAAACCGGATCCGATAATGTTTGGGTAATTACCGGTTCCTGGCGTAATTATCCGATCTGAACCGAACCCGAACCGATCCGAACCGATTTTTGGGCGGTTCCTGTTTGGTTACCTGAAGTCCAAAACTGAAAAATTCGAAATTCGAATTAACTGAACCGAAACCGAACCGAAAACCGAATGCCCAAACCTATCATCATCAATCATAGAAAAATGTCTTTTTGGTCCATTAGATTTTAAAATCAAGTTAATTATAATTATGACTGTTGGATTGAATTTTTTTTTCCTATAATAAAATACAAGGTCACTTTCGGATTCCTATTATATATAGATTGATTATGTTGTCCAGAAAAAGATCAATTGATTATTAATACCGTTTGCTCCCCACGCCTAATATTCAATAAATATGAACGTTAAACACGAACAGATCTAACCAATTAATGAACGAAGTGGCACGTGAATTCCCCATCCCCGACTCACCGCCAAAAAATACATACCAAATCGAGAAATATTTAAAATGTCTATAGTAAGCATTAAAATACAAATAAATGATATGAAGTGGGAAAATGTAGATAAGGTAGACCCCGGTAACCTCCACCGTTAGTTTAGTAACGGAGTTAACATCACATCCGAAAGATAACAATACGAGTCCGATCTATAACTCCCTCCACCGTTTTCTTAGAGTTAACGGAGTTACAGTACGAATCTAATCTATAAATACCTCTCATTGTCTTCTTCAACCACAATGTTCTCTAGCTATATCATACAGAGTTCGAATCAAATCAAAATTAGGGTTACAGATTCTCTGCTAAGCTGATCAGGTGTATATCTCTCTCTCAATCTTCTCCATTTCTCTTACGCGATTAGGTCTAATTGATCGATTTCGTGCAATTTATCTCATTCCAATTAGATCTAAAACGACATTGATTGCGCATCGTATTCTTAACCTTGTGATCATATGCAGAGTGATTGATCACACAACGATGGATGTATCTGGAAAATCATCAGCCAATGTTATTTACCTGTCTTCGATACTGGGCCATCGTGATGGGCCCGGCCCGTGTCACAAATGTGACTACAAATGCGAGAACTATAACGTTTTTGGGAACATGTACCGTTGCAAGTTAACCGGTTTAACCCACGTCTGTGACAAGAACTGTAACCAACGGATTCTTTACGATAATCATACCTCTTTGTGCCGAGCTAGTGGCAGGATGTTCCCGAATCCCGCTCTCCTCGGTTGAGGAGCAGGCGGTTAGAGGAGTTCGTAGGAAGCTTGATGATGAGAGTGAGGCTTCTGAGAGCTGTTTTGTTAAGCGTCGTCGACGTTCTTCTCCTTTTGAGAGGTCTTTTGGTGTTGTGAGCCCGATTTGCAGCCCAGCTGGAGATGGAATGGAGATTAATTAGAATAATAACTATTGCAATAAGAGACTTTATAAATGTGGTTTTCTTACAGGGAGACTAGGTGTAGCTCCCTGTCTCTGAAGATGCATTTTTATCTTAGTATTTGTTGAAAACTCTATGTAGTAGTTATAAGTTAGGAGAGACTTTTTGATTCTGCTGATTTGTTATGGACGTTTCTTGTTTTAATATAACTAGTTGAATTAGAAGAATATATCCCACTTGTTCCATCTCTAGTTTGGACACAGTGTTGGAGGCAGCTTCTGTTTGGCTGTGTATCTTGTTTTGTTATACCGTTGGTGATTCCTGATAATTTTATTACGACAGGTTCTTTAAGATCAAAAATATCCTCTAAAATTATTCATTTGTCTTTTTGATTGGATGGAGACATGATTGTAACCTATACTTTGTTTCAAGATCATGTGTCTTCTTTTCGTTGATTGATGAGATCTAAAAGGTAGTGAATTAGAACCTGTTTCTAAAGGTTTCATAGTGTTGTTATGCAGGAGAGCTTGACTGCCATTACTTTCTGTAAAATGATTTCGATTGTTATGTTTCTTAAAATTCCAGAATTTGAGGAGTAAGTCTAACAATTTGTAAACTTCCTTGTAGGTATTTAAGATGCCTGTTTGTGCTCAGCACGCAGCAAGTAGGCGCAGAGGAAGAGAGGTGGAGAAGAAAGTTATTCAACAAGTAATACATTAGCTAGCAACATGGTAAGGCCCAAACTTAAGCTTTCTGGATCTTATTCACTAGTTCCATATTTACTGTCGAGCCTCAGAATCTTATTCACTAGTTCCATATTTTTACTGTCGATAAAAGTTATCTTCTTGGAATAATAACATACGTAAAAAACATAAGGAAAAATAGCCAATGGGAAAAAAGCAAACCATCAATAGACTTAGTGGGACGTCTCTCTCACAGTCTCACTGAATACAATGATTTCCGTTTTAATGCCGCTTTATCAAATTCAGTTTGCCGAAAAAGTAGTTTCACTTTTTCTTCAAAAAAAAAAAAATCTCTTCCTCAAAAACGATTCGGACATAACATTGCACTCATGTACTGTCATATCTCAAGTACATGGATTTTGCAGTGATGTACGATTGTACAGTACACGATTGCACTCATGTACTGTCATATCTCAAGTGCATGGATTCTGCAGTGATGTACGACTGTACGGTACATGCAAGTAGTTACCACCCAAAAAGAGAAGAAATTTAACTGTGACAATCCATTCGCTGGTAGCTCACAGCTTTCCCATCCTGTAGAAATTCACAGCACTGTGAGTTTTCAGTAGACAAGTTGTCATATTAACATTCTGTCAGTTGTGATAGAATTCTATTTAAAAAGTAATTTTCTGATTTTTAATCAATAATATATGAAAAAGAAAACAAATTCAACAATAAGCAATACTGAAGCTGGAAAATATATGTTGGTTGATAATTCCAAAATTTTCGATTTTATACAAGTACGGTCGACTTTTAATTCTGCTTTCAACTTTTCTTTTTTTCGTGTGATTTTCAAGTTGATTTTAATATGTGTTTTTACGCGCGTACAAAAAAATCTGTTGACTATTAAATTCGTTAACAAATTTTTTCTAAGTACTTTAAAAAAAATTAAAATTAACAACCAAAATTTTAACTGTAAAATCAAATCAAATTGTATTATATCAACAATCTAAAACAATCATGGCTATAATTGTGAAGCTTTATAAAGTTGTGGTGAAAAAAATATATTTTACTTTTGTTTACATGTAACTTCTCCCGAGATGTTTTGAATTTCCTAAACAAGAAGAAAAAAAAAACTAAAAGCTGAGACTGATCTTAGGATTCACATAAATATAAGTATAATCTACGAATTCGAAACTATGACTCCAAGAGAGGAGGAAGAGAGACGAGAGATTTGGTCGACGAGGAAGAATATACGAGATTGGTACTCACGCGCCTGATCTAGAGACTCCACCTCTAGCTCCCCCAGCTGCGAGCAAAGTCTCTCCTCCGCCTCTTCCGCCACCAACGTCCGCCGCCACAACTGAACCATCTCTTTCTTCATCTCCTCCATTTCTCTCTCCAATTCTACGTTCTTCCTACGTAGCTCCTCCACCTCGTCTGCAGCCACCGTCACGAAAGCTCCTCCTTTTCCCATTAATTTCAACTGCAAATTCTATGTAGATTTCTTCTTCTTTTTTTCGTGAGAGAGCTATTTATTTCGGTGGTGTTAATTCTGTATGTGTTAATAGTAGTTATGTTTGTGTGTGTTGATCCTTTTATATATTAAGCCTAGTGCTGGTCTTTGGAATCGAGAGTGTCCAGGTTCAATGTACCCCGTGGTCTTTTTTGTATCGATATTTTAGTTTTTGTCAAGTATGAAGTATCTATCGTCCCTCTTTGAAAAGTAACCACACGTAGCCCGTATCATGCATGACTATTCACAACTCTTTGCATGGAACATTTACGAACACTCATCTTTTATCCCAAGTTTTTAAGGTATGATGAGCGTCAGGAAATTTCTTTCGTTTTTAATATTTGTAAACTAAATTTTCTCGGCATATGCAATGGTGTACTCCATTCATGGATCCTTATCATTATTTTTATTTTTTTATTTTTTTTTGAATAGTTAAGGATTCAAATTGATCGTCCAATGCTGTTCCCGAATATGGAATTCTTAGGAATTAAAAAATAATATTTTTTATATTTTTTTTAAATTGAAATTGAATTAATTGCATGAATAAAAAAATAATAACTTCTTTTTTTTTTTACGTTTTTGGCGAAAATAACCATTTTTTTAAATCTACCCAAACACAAACCGAACCCGTCCCACTCACACGCTGCCACGTACACAAGGATCAACTCCTTAAACTCTTTCCAAAAGGATCAATCCTTGCCAAAATTAACATAATAACTATTATTATATTAAAACTAACCTAAGGATTAGAGATAAGGATTTCTTATGGACCTCCATTGCAGGTGATCTAAATATTTGTGTAATTAACATGATTACCCAAAAAAATATTTGTGTAATTAACTTAAATATGTCGCATCTATGAACAGACTCAAACAGATCTCCAAACAGAAGTGTATTCCACATATAGATTCTTTTTTAGGATATTCAAATATATATTTTTGGCGTAAATGTTAAAAGAAAATATTCAAATCAATTTCTTTTTAGAATATTCAAAAGATAGTAAGCAATGCATCCATATCTATGTAAGATATAATGTAGTGAGGTATATTTGAACTCAAGTTACGGTGTAGATCTAAAAACTAGGGTATATTTAGAGAGAGGTGAAAGAAAGTTGCTCTCAAGTCTCTCTCCCCCCAAACCTTAATCTCCTCGAACCTCACCATCAGAACCTCGTCTTCGGTGGCTGGCGGTGGTCGTTAATCGTCGGTCACCACCCCAAATCACTTCCTCTGTCCAACCTCACCCCTGTTGAGCTCTGTTTTCCCCACCTCCTCCTTGCTTCATCATCTCTGGTTTTTCGTTTGGATAGCGGCCGGATCTGGCAAATCAAACCGGTTTTTGGGTGTGTACCCAGTCTCTCTGGAGTGGTGCCAAGGTCGTGGATGCTCAGATCCTTTCAGGAGGCGCCGTTTCGATAGTAGATCTAGGGTTTTGCTTGGTGGATCTGGGTCAGTTTCACCTTGGAAGGTTCACCGGAGCTTCAGTGCGTCGCTGCCGCTGCGTCTCCGGTCAGCCTCGATGCCTCCTCTGTCTTTTCCTGTCTCTGTCTTTGGTTGCTTTAGCTAGAACTTTCCCGTATAGATCTTTGGGTCTAAGAATAAAAGCGATGTTTTGAGGGCTTCGCGGGAGACTTCTTTTACGTTCCGTCTTCTCAGCAATTACCATAGCATCTTATGGTCTCAGGTCCTTTGGTGGTTCGAGATAGCTCAGGGACTTCAGTTCCCTGCTTTGTGTTTGCCTTCTGTCGGGTTCCCTCACCTTTTCGCCTTCTGATGGGAGTTCAACCTCTCCCGTTTTCAAAGTCTCAGAAGGATTTTGACTTCCATTTCCTGCCCTTTTCGAAGCTAAGTTGCCAGATCTTTCAATGCTCTGCTTGTTTGTTGAGACCGGAGTCGAGAGCCGTATAACCTCAGCTTCCGCCAGCATGTATCTCACCCATGCTTATCTGCTGGCGTCTTCGCCTCGGTTTGGATCTCTCAGGGAGTTGGTCTAGTTGTTTTCTGGAGTAAGCTTCGTCTGGAGTGGACTTCACTGGTTGTGATGGCCGGACCAGGACTTAGTCAACCCTGCTTCGCCTGTCCTCCTTTCGGAGTCGCCTTTGGGACAGTCTACGGTGCCTCTGACTGTTCTCCGGTTGTGATCTCTAATGATCGCCTCTCTTGTTGCATGTTTCCGGTTGCAAGATCAAGTTGTGGTCTCCTGATACTCAATGGTTGCTAGAATTTGTACTTTGCCAAGCTTTAGTCATGTCTTTAGAGATTGTGCCTAAACCTTAGTTTGTTTTAGAGAGTCTTTTTACCTTTTTTTGCGGCTTTCTCTAACACTTATGCTTTAATTACCGGTTAATGAAAATTCACATACTTAACAAAAAAAAAGTTACTTAGTAACTCAAATCTCCCTGCCACTAAACTACAATCGAAAATCAATTTTAAAAAAAAACCAATATGTTTGTGTTCAAAAAAAAAAAAAAAACCAATATGTGAAGATATCATACCAGAAATTACTCTTTTGCTAGTTAACAAAAGGATAGATGACGTTGATAATATTTTCCATTTCGTCGTGCCACAGTTGGGCCCTTCTCGTTCTTCCAAGTCAATGGCCGTCACACGAACGATAGTAACAAACACACAACGAAAAAAAATGTATATAATTCTTATTTAGTCCACTTTTCTTGACTATTCCCACATTAGTTTATATGAAATACAAGATTTTTATCCCTAAAAAAAAAAGAAACACAGTAATTTAGGCTAAAAGTTCAATTTCTTTCGAAATGTGGTGACAAACAGTGATTAGTAATTAAAGGTTCTTTGTTTTTATAATAGTTGTATAAATGGACAGTGGAAATTGTAATGTAGGTAACTATAATCTGATAAACAGGCATATAGATATCATGATATACTATTATTTAGCTCAATTATTAAAAAATGCCAAGAAGGATCAGGAGACAAGTTTGAAATAAGGGAATAAAACCCATCCATCCATACGTAACTTGATTGAGTTGTTCGTGTCTAGGTTCAGTGTATCTCCTCTCTTCTCTCGTTTTGTAGTCTTCTCAAATCATTTCGGTTTCAGTTCCCTTCGGTTTAATTAATACGACGTCGACTTTAGCAGGCCTGGTTTAGTCAGATACCGTCATGCATGGCGTCATTGATTAAAATGAAGATGTTAACATTTTGAAGTGTACGCATGAAGTTTTCTCGCCGTCGATCAATATGCACATATATGTACTACCTAAGTTTGATATCTTTTCTTTCATTTCAATATACCTTTATAGAAGTTTTTTTGTAAGTTCAAAAAATAAAATTCGATATTTGCGAGTCTCACCAAATAAAAAAAAAGTTTCATGGTGATAAACATAACTGATTCGCGTTTCATAAGTTCAAGATTTACGTACTTGTAGAGGATACACTAAACGAAATGAACATAAACCTTAGAAAGAAAATAAAATAAAATCTCTAACTACCAGTAGGTATGGGAGAAGATGAGAGAGATCGTCCAGGCGGCGGAGGAGACGGCGAGGATGAAGATAGATCACTTCTCAGATCAAAAGGAACGGCGAGGTTTAACTGAGCTCGATTTTGTTTCAGGAAGCCCAAGGCCTACAACTAGTGACTATATGGGCCTAGGTTGAGTCAGTAATATTTATTCTTACTTCTGTGTCCAAATTTGAAGAAAAAAGTCGATTTGATTAGACAAGATTGAACCGTGATTCAAACACTAGTACGGTTTTAAAATACCACACTGCGTATGAGCAACAAACTTAGTCTTCTTGTGGCCAAACTCTACAACAAAGGAATGTAAAAACGAGTGTTAAGTAACATATAATAATAATAATATATATAGTCTTAGAACAGAAAAGTGTATCTCTCCAAAGCTTTTTCATCTTCAATATCAGCAAGTATTTGTGCATTTGTAAGCACTTTAGATTCACACCGAATGTATGGCATCATCCATTGCTTTCACATCAAAACCTCAACCGTATAGTGAGTTAAAAAGTTCCTATAAGGTTTTATAATTCTACTACTAGTGTCAGGTCCGGTCATTGGATAAAGTCTGTAAAGCATTAGCTTAGGACACCATAAATTATTAAAATTTTAGGCGTATAATTTTCAGCCTAGTGACTACGTACGCCTTACAAATTTCAATAAGTAAATGATTTGATGGTAAAGATTGATTTCCTTTTCTAAACTTTAAAATTTCCTTATATATTAGATTAATGATAAAATTGATTTGCTGGTAACGATTGATTTCTTTTTCTAGACTTTAAAATTTCCATATATATTGGATTAAATGATTAAATTTATAAATTAGAATAGTAACTCTTTTATTTACCCTAACAATTGACAGTTTATCTTCTCACTTTTCAACCATTTTGTTCATTCTTCTTTGTCGCCCTTGATCAAACTTCATCTTCTATTGTTATTAAAAAAAGATAATTGTTTGTTTCAGAATGGGTGTATCTCTAAATCTATGTAAGCTTTCCTCTTTCTTTTTGTCTGAGAAATTGGTTTTGTTCTAGTTAAAGGCGTGTGTTTTATCAAAAAAATATAGTTAGGGATAGCATATTGGGATTTGGGGGTGTGCTTTAGACACCACGGACGACCGGACCGACACTACTGACTACTGCTAAAAATCCCCATGCGACAACAAATAACAATTATCAAAGCAATTTTCAATCACACACATGATTACTCGATTAAAAAAGATGTTTGTGTGAACCCAACATCAAAGAAGTTGAGAAAATAAACGTGAGTCACACGGCATGAAACAATAATTCAAAAGCTTTACCTGTAAAACAATCAAGGTTAGTGTAGCCAGTTTTTTTTAAAAGGAGGCTCGGTGTTTTATGTGAAGATTAGATTTAGGGTCCTGAAAAATTACTTGAAGAAAACGAAGACATACAAATAAAATTTAGGAAAGTTGTATATATTATATATATAAAGTATATAATATATATCATATCACATCTATAAATGTATACACGTGTACTTCGGTTAAGTTTGGATTCATGTATAATTTTCGGATTTATCCGTTTGGATGTTTAAGGGATTCGAAACCGATCCATACCACTCATTTCAGTTAAGATTTGGGTTTGGGTGTCAGGTATTATGCCCACTGCAAGTAGCTACTTTTAAACTTTACTCTATATATACAGACATGTGCGTAATGGAATTAAAGTAGAACCCATAGATTCTGTAAAATGATATATACTCCTTTTTAAAACAATTTATATGTGCTGTTAGAATTTTTAATGATTATTTATTTAAGCAATTAGTTTCTGTAAAATTAATATATAGAATACAATACATACTAAAAGTTACAAAATACAAATTATTTCCTTATTGCATTTTTTTTAATGAGATTTCGCTTTCCATTTTCCTAAATTTATCATATTTTTTACCATTGATGATTATGATGCTTTCTTCTAAGCTGTAGGGAGTGGATGGTTCGGTGAAATATCCAAGAATGTTTGAAACATGTGAACGTCATGTCTGATATTCGTTTTGGAGTTTATCAATAACATTATCACAGATGTGTGGACATCGATCATGATGACCTCTAAAGGTCCGAAGAGTTTAGGGTATTAATTTTTAAATAAATATGACCATTTAGCATATTCCAATTTAAATTAAAGATTGTTATATAATAGACCAACGCGAATATTTTCCAGCATTGTCTAAGAATCGGTGATGGCTACAGACTCTAAATCACTTCTACCAATTATCGGTATGGATAAATTCCCTAAATATAGTCATTATTAACTTTATCATCATCAAAGCTTTCATTTCATATTCTCAAGAAACTACAATAATGTTGTTGTAGACATTAGCCCTTTACTAGTCAACTGTGATGATCCCAACATGATGGAGGATGTCGGCGTGGCCGAGGTTGTCCGAAAACTAGACCGGGCTTGTCGGGACGTCGGATTCTTCTACGTGGTAATAGAAACTATGAGTTTATTTTTTTTCTTTTTGTTTAATAAATAATGTGCTGCATGGCCTGAGGATTTAAACTCGTGAGTGTGGTGGTGCAGACTGGTCATGGAATTTCGGAGAGTCTTATGAAGAAGGTGAAAGAGATGTCACACCAATTCTTCGAGCTTCCATATGAGGAGAAACTTAAGATTAAGATAAAGCCAGGAGCTGGATACAGGTTTGTTCATTGATCTGGACATATATGATGTTTTCATCATTGTCGTGGTCAAGAACAAGAGGGAAAATACTTTGAATTCTTTAAAGATTAATCTAGTATTATATAAAGCTTCTTATAGTAAACATATTAATTCGAATCCTCAGTACTTTGTCAAAAAATAAAAATTAATACTACGTAAAACCTAGTTACTTTTTAAAATGAACTGAAAACAAAAGGTCTTTCGGAGAATAAAATGTGTTTTTTGTTGAGGATCATAAATGAGTACTGTTGAATTACACAGAGGATATCAGAAGTTTGGAGAAAACTATACGAATGGGAAACAAGATTTTCACGAAGCAATTGATGTAAGTGTGGCCAACGTACTAGCAAAACGATTGAGTCATCTAATCCAAGTAGTCGTGCTACTAATATGTTTTCATCTCTTATGGACAGTGTTACAAAGAGTTCGAGCAAGGAAAGTATGGGGAAACTGGAAAGGCCATGGAAGGGCCAAACCAGTGGTAAGAGTTTGCTATATATATTTTGCATTTACGTCTGTGCTGAAAAAAAAGGGTCCGAGAGAATATTTTCCTGAAAAACTTGTTTCTGTTAATCAGTTACACATATGAAATAGTGGATGAGTCAAATGATATAATAGAATAGCGAAAACATTTTAGTTGGTTTCAATATATTTATGATCTTTTGTTCTTTTTTGAACAATTTTTTAACAAAGATTATTTTTGAAATAATAAAATAATGGAATCGTTTTTTCCCTTAATAAGCGAACACTTGATCGATATTCTAAATAGTAAAATAGCAAAATTATGTCTTAAAAAACATTTTAATCGAAAGAAAGGATTGATGTACTACTTAACTTATCACATAAGATTTTAATTTTTACTTGAGCTTTATTATTCGTGTGTGTGACGTTTTCTTTGAAGGCCAGAGAATCCTCAAGAGTACAAAGAGGAGATGGATGAGTATATTAAGCTATGCATAGGTGTGTATATACAGCCTGTTCAACCCTTATCTGTTTCTTTTATGTATTTTTATTTCCAACTTAATTAGAGATTCTTGGTTTTGCAATTTCATTACATGGTTTCAAGATCTTTCTAGAAACATACTGAGAGGAATCTCCTTAGCTCTTGGTGGATCACCTTATGAGTTTGAGGGAGATCTGGTTGGAGATCCTTTTTGGATCATGCGTATTATTGGTTATCCGGGTGTGAACCAAGAAAATGTTATCGGATGGTAATACACTTTTTTTTATTATTGTAGCACACCTAGAAAACTCTATCAGATGATAACTAGTCTCTCTTTTTTCTTTTGCTTAAAAAATTCAGTGGTGCTCACACGGACTATGGTAAGTATCAAGATGACAAGTATTTTCATAATTTTTGTTTCAAGAGGGAGAAACCCCATAATTTTTTTAAGTTAAAAAAACCATAATTTTGTAGGTTTGTTGTCTCTTATAAATCAAGATGATGATAAAACTGCTCTACAGGTATATATATATATTACTACCATGATCTTTCTCTTATTTTGTTACTCTTAAAAATGGTTGAGGTTTTTTTGTTGTAACTTTGGAAAGGTCAAAAACTTTGCCGGTGATTGGATATCAGTTACTCCAATCCCTGGATCATTTGTTTGCAACATCGGTGACATGTTAAAGGTTTTCTTTTGTTCTTTCACTAAATGTATCTTTCTTTCATATATTTAGAAAATTATTGAAACATTTGAAAATCAGTTTTTCAATAAAAACATTCGAAAATCAAATATGCAGATACTTTCAAATGGAGTATATGAATCCACACTTCATAGAGTGATCAATAACTCTCCTCGATACCGCGTATGCGTCGGATTCTTCTACGAGGTATAATAAACTTGTAACAGTCTGTGTTTTACAGTTTCAAACAAAAGTAGTCTTTTTTGAGAAAGGGTTTAAAATCAATTTTAATTATTTACAATTTATTAGATTTTTAATTTTTAAGATTGTTAAAATTGATGGATTCTAAAATCTCTGCAATATTCATTAGATTTTGAGTTTAATCATTTATTCAAGGGTTTTTAGTAATAAAACCCCTCAACTAAAGATGGATCGTAAAAAAAACCCTCAACTAAAAATTTTGTGAAATAAACCCTCAACTTTAGTTCCGTTAATGTTTGTCACCCTCCGTCACAGAATTTTAGACGGAGGGTGACATATGTTAACAGAACTATAGTTGAGGGTTTATTTCACTAAATTTTTAGTTGAGGGTTTTTATTACGATCCATCTTTAGTTGAGGAGTTTTATTACTAAATGTGGTTAAATATTTTAAAATCTTTATTATCATTTATTCATTATTTAAGAATCTTAAAATTGATTTATAAACATTGAAAATAATTTATATTTTTTATATATTACTTCATCAATTTTATAACCTATTTATAAAGTTTTCTCATTTAATACTTTTTATAAATTATTATTAAAGTTTAATGATTATTTTATAAGATTAAAGATGTGATTATTCGTCATACTACAAAAACATGAAGTAAATAAAAAAAACAAAAAAAAACTTATTGATTAATATGGTAGGAGTATAACATACTGGTTCAGAAATTAAAAAGAAGAAAAATAATCCTACATTATTTCTTCTGAAACAGAAAAAGTACGAATCAAATTGAAATTGTTTAAAGAGGAGAATAAAGCCCTTACCATATTTTAAGTAACAATGTTGAATTTCTAAACTAATTAAATATCTTCAACACTACCTACAACTTTATATAACTTAGAAATCTTAAGTATTTGATATTTGACAGTATTAATATATAAAAATTATATGTGTTTCCTCCTTTATAAAGTTTTATCGCTTTACTTCGTAATATCAAGAAAAATCATGTATTATTCCATCCTAAATAATAGCAGACAAAAGCTTATAAAATCATCGTTAAACCTTATTAATAGTTTATAAAAATATTAAAATATTTACTAAGCTTTATAAATAGGTTACAAATTTGATAAAGTAATATATAAAAAATTATAAATTATTTTCAATGTTTATAAATCAGTTGTAAGATTATTAAATAATAAATAAATGATAGCAAATGTTTTAAAATATTTAACAGCATTTAGTAATAAAACCCCTCAACTAAAGATGGATCGTAACAAAAACCCTCAACTAAAGATTTAGTGAAATAAACCCTCAACTTTAGTTCTGTTAACATATGTCACCCTCCGTCTAAAATTCCGTGACGGAGGGTGACAAACATTAACGGAATTAAAGTTGAGGGTTTTTTCACTAAATCTTTAGTTGAGGGTTTTTTTTACGATCCATCTTTAGTTGAGGGGTTTTATTACTAAAAACCCTTTATTCAATAGAATTCATCACTGATGATTTGAAATCTATTTATATTACAAAGAATTCTAAAATCTTTAAAAATTGAATAACACCAAATTTTAAAACCCGAAATTCAATCATAGATTGAATAACATTGAATTTTAAAATAGGATATAGAATCATCAATTGATTGGATAACACCATATATGATTGGATAACACCATATAGTCTTTGTGTTTTTCTCAGTTCGGATTTTAATCATCTATCTTTTCCGAACAGATCAACTTTGACGCGGTGGCTGAACCATTGGATATTTTCAAAGAGAAGTACCCTGGAGATAAAATATCTCAAGTTTCCAAAAGAGTTGTCTATGGAGAGCATCTGGTTAACAAACTCCAGGACACTTTCGTAAATTTCGTGGAACATATTTAATTTGATTGGTTGGGCTTTCAGTGACAATCGTGTAATCGTGTTATCTGGATTTCTAGTTCTAATAAAAAAAATATTACTATACTACAAAAAGTTACATAAAATATTTGATGGTTGTAGTTTGCTGGCTATTGTTTTGTAGGTTTTTGTGTATGCTAAATTAAAATATGCTATGCTCTAATCTCTTCATTTCTGCAAAATAGCAACGAAAGGTCACTAATGCATTTGTGGACTACTGTAATTAAAAAAAAAAACATTTAGAATAGTATTTCTTTTCTCTTTTTCACATCTTCCCAATTTGACTTTCCTTTTGGATAAAATCTGAAGCATCCCACATAGCTCCTCTTACAAACATCACCGATGGACGAAGACATTATGTGTTGGAAGAAGTTGGGGTAGGAGAAGCCGTAGCAAAACTAAGATTACAACATTTTTATTGATTTAAGGTTAGGTTCTATGTAGCGAAAGCTTGTAGCTTTAGTATAGTTTTGTTATTGATCAAGGTTTCAAGAGTATTGAAGAATAGTCGTATCTTAGTACTTCAGAGGTCGTATCTAAGAGAGTTGATGTTTGCTAATTGCTATGTGATTACTCGAGAAAAGCATTAAGATTTGGACTTAATTAGTGTGTTACAACTTACATTAGAGTCTAGATTGTGTGTCGAAAGAAATTGATGGTAGGAAAAGCCATCCAAAACTAATTAGTCTGCGACGTTGTTTTTGGTTTAATAATATTTCTTTTTTTTTTTCTTTTTTTTTTTTAATAATATTTCTATGCAGCAAAAGCTTGTAATTTTAGTATAGTTCTGTTATTGATCAGGATTTCAAGATTATTAAAGAATAGTAGTATCTTTGTTCTAGAGAGTTCGTAGCTTGAAATATACAACTTCAGTATAATCTGACATTAATCACGATTTCCAGAGTATTGAAGAATAGTCATATCTTGGTTCTTGAGACGTCGTAGCTTCAAAGATACATAGTTAGTATAGTTCTGTTATTGGTCAAGATTATTGAAGATTTTGCGTTTCTTTCTTAAGCGTCGTAGCTTGGAAGATGCATCCTTTGGTGTTTGATTCCTTTTGCATCAATGGGGGTATTGTAGAAGATGTAAATTCTCATGGTTTGTTACTAATGGACTGTTTGTGGAACATTTCGTCTGCTAAAGTAGTTAAAACATGCACTGGCTATTAAGCTAGATGGGTTTCCAACCTAAAACCAATTGGTGATAAGTGGATTGACCCATCTATCTTATATATCACCCTTCCAACTTCCGATGTGGGACACTCTGTGTCTAATACGCCCCCTCGAGATGATGGCTCTCTGGCATCAATCTCGGAATGTTCGGGCAAGGATCGATGGACCGACTTTAGGCTAGATCGATAAGGATCGGATTGGGCTGCATGAATCGTGGGCTCTAATACCATATTAAGCTAGATGAGCTTCCAACCTAAAACCAATTGGTGATAAGTGGATTGGCCCATCTATCTTATATATCACTAAGAATCCCTTCCAACTTCCGATTTGGGACACTCTGTGTCTAATACTGGCCACACCAACTCTCAGTACTCGATTTCCTTTGCGTTCTCTATCACAAATGGAAAGCAAATAGTCGGTGGATCCGAGGACAAGTAAGTGTGTATACATGTGGGAGCTGAACTCCAGGAAAATGCTTCAGAAACTTGACGGTCATACTGAGCCTGTCATGAGCGTGGCGTGTCATCCTACAGAGAATATGGTTGCATCACGGTCACTTGACAAGTCTATAAGAATTTGGACGCAGAAGAAAGAATGAAACAGGAATCTCTCTTCTCCATGTTGTAAATTTGTAATCATCCAATTCTCGCTTTCTTAGTTGAGTCTTCTTAGATTGATTCTAGCAGCGTTATTCAAAATCCAATTTTGGTCAGGTATAGAGGAAGTAGACTCAAAAATATTCTGATAAGGCAAATATAATTTCGTTAAATGACTTGAGAAAGCGAACACAATTAGGTACAGGTTTTCCCTTTTTTCAATTCATATTGTATTTGTCAAGTTTTTTTTTGTCTTGTCACGGTATTATGGTTTAAAGTGTTTCAACGTTGAGAGTTGTTCATATGAATCAGATTGCTGATGGGTAAAAAGTACATGACTGTATGTAGATTACGTATGGTAAGGTGGCATCATTATCCATTACAGGCTCTTAAAAGACATCTTTAAGAATTAGTTCACTTGGAGATGATTGTTTTTGCCAAAGTTGCATTATATATAATTCAGTCAAGAGGATAAACACAAACGAAACACACGTTTTATATTGGAGTTACGTAAGTAGTTGGTTGATAGACTTTTCGTTTTTTTTTTCTTTATAAAACACATCCCATCTCGAGTCAAACAAACAAACAAAACACTTTTCGTCATTTTCTTTATTTTTGTTTGTTTTGTTTTAGTAGAAACATTCTCGGTCTTTTTTTTAATTTATTATTGGGGTTAACGCAACGTAAATGGTTGGTCAATTAACATTTTCTGTCAATTTCTCCCGTTTTACAAAAAAACATTTTTGGTCTCTTCTTCTTATAAAGTCTAACAACGACAGAAATATATACTAATAATTATCGTTAGACCGATAGATTAGGTTTGTGTTTTCCATATTGGGTAATTACCGATAGAGGAAGAGAGTTTACCTCGGCCAAGTTTTCCATATTAGATAAGTTTGCCTCAGCTAAGTTCAATATATGGTTCACCGATAGAGGAAGAGAGTTTACCTCGGCCAAGTTTAATCTAAGTTGCATCGATAGAGGAGGAGAGTTTACCTCAGCTGAGTTAAAGATGCCGAACTACTTATGGGTTGAAGCTATGGTAGCCGAGATGGAAGCTATCACAAGAAGCAAGATGTGGGAGCTTGTAGATAGACCACCTGCTAAACCTACATGGTTAAAGTGGATCGACAAGATTCAAGGAGCAGATGAAATCAAGATAAAGGAGGAGAGTCCTGCTCAAGGAATTTGGCGTGACACAGATATTCAAGGGTGTAACACGACTCAAGTTCCAATGGAGTCGAGTTACAAGTTGTTAAAAGTTGGAGACGAACCAAAGATAGATGCTCAAAGAATCATGTGTGACACACAGATGGAAGCGTGTAACACAACACATGTACCAGTGGAGCATGTGGTTAGACAGTCTGGTGTTAAACATACAGAGGTATGTAACACAAAGATGGAAACGTGTAACACTACTCATGCAGGAGTATGTGATACACAGATGGAGTCGTGTAACACGACTCATGTATGTGACACAAAGATGGAAGTGTGTGACACAGCTCACGTACGGTTGATGGCGGACGTGACCAGAGCGAGTTTCAGCTGCAAGACTCATCGCAACTTAAGTGAAGAGGTCAGGAGAAGGTTCTACAAGAACTGGGCCAATTCTAAGAAGAGGCGGTTCCAAAGCTTATAGACTCTATGATCCAGTCACAGGGAAGGTGATGGTGAGTAGAGATGTGATTTTCGAATTCAAATCTCTAGAAACACAAAGGATTATAAGAACAACTTTTCTTATTAGCTTTAGAAACTACTCAAAACTAAAGCTCACAATATGTTTCTCTTAGATCATTTGATCTACTCTCTTAGATCTTATGGAACACCTCTCCATAGATCTCTATTTATATGCAAGATAATTCCCTTGAACATGTGGGATATGGAAAACACANATGGAAAACACAAACCTAATCTAATAGAAAACTTCCTTTTCCTATTTCTAGATTTCCTTATTGTGTTTATCCTTAACATATTAAACATCCAGCAATATGTTAAGTTTCCACAAGCTTGGAATTACCCAACATTCACCCCCTTAATTCCAACTTGAATTAGGGAGATCAATTTCTTGAACTCCGATTAAGCTCCTCATTTGCTTGAACTTAAACTTCAAGTAATCATCCTTCACCACACGATAGTATGCGAATCCACCCATTGTATTCACATCTTTCTCAAGGTTAGACTGGATGTTCTCCTCGCTTTTGTACCGCCTCTTCTTAGAATTGGCCCAGTTCTTGTAGAACCTTCTCCTGACCTCTTCACTTAAGTTGCGATGAGTCTTGCAGCTGAAACTCGCTCTGGTCACGTCCGCCATCAACCGTACGTGAGCTGTGTCACACACTTCCATCTTTGTGTCACATACATGAGTCGTGTTACACGACTCCATCTGTGTATCACATACTCCTGCATGAGTAGTGTTACACGTTTCCATCTTTGTGTTACATACCTCTGTATGTTTAACACCAGACTGTCTAACCACATGCTCCACTGGTACATGTGTTGTGTTACACGCTTCCATCTGTGTGTCACACATGATTCTTTGAGCATCTATCTTTGGTTCGTCTCCAACTTTTAACAACTTGTAACTCGACTCCATTGGAACTTGAGTCGTGTTACACCCTTGAATATCTGTGTCACGCCAAATTCCTTGAGCAGGACTCTCCTCCTTTATCTTGATTTCATCTGCTCCTTGAATCTTGTCGATCCACTTTAACCATGTAGGTTTAGCAGGTGGTCTATCTACAAGCTCCCACATCTTGCTTCTTGTGATAGCTTCCATCTCGGCTACCATAGCTTCAACCCATAAGTAGTTCGGCATCTTTAACTCAGCTGAGGTAAACTCTCCTCCTCTATCGATGCAACTTAGATTAAACTTGGCCGAGGTAAACTCTCTTCCTCTATCGGTGAACCATATATTGAACTTAGCTGAGGCAAACTCTCCTCCTCTATCGGTGAGAAAGGTTCTGATGGGTTCCTTCAACCTTTTGAACCGATCGAATACCTCATGCTTCTTCTTCAATAGTATAGCCGGGAATTCATGTCTAATTTGATTCTCTGTTAGACATGCGTTACACACGACATCTCCGTGTGTTACACTCAGGAATGAGTGTCTGTTTTGCTTCACTGCGTCACACACGCCTTCTTCGTGTGTTACACTCGCGAATGAGTGTATGATCTGCTTCACTGTGTCACACACGCCTTCTTCGTGTGTTACACTCGGGAATGAGTGTTTGATCTGCTTCATTGTGTCACACACGCCTTCTTCGTGTGTTACACTCGACATTCTTTTGACTAACGTCTGAAGTCTCACCCTCCTTACACGAACAGCTCCAAGGTGTCGTGACCTGATGGCGTTACATATGTCTTTAGAAGCGGCTTGTTCTCCCACCTGGAGAATCAAGCTTTCGGAAGCTACTTGTTCTCCCACCTGAAGAATCAAGTTTCCAGAAGTGGATTGAAACAAAA